ATTTCTATCTTAACATGTGATTCTTGACCTGCCATTGTGTATCTGTTCCTACCAAACCCAGCCGGTCGAAGCAGATGGTCCTCTTGTCCTGATCCTGCTAAAGGTTTCTTCCTCACGAGGGAGTTTTTCTTTCCACTGTCGCCTTCATGCTTGCTCAGGATGGGAGACAACGATGAAGCTAAACTCAAAGCTGCTCCTCAGATAAATAACATAAAATTATTATTTTATATATGAACGTTTCTGTTGTGACTTGGCGCTTTATAAAAACTTAATTGAAGTGAACAGTGTTCGTAACACGGCTGGTAAAAATAATAAATAAAATACAGTAGCCTATCAGGAAGTCATTGATCTCTAGATTCGTCTTCATCCTGCGCTGCAAAGGAGGAAGTATTGAGGCGATGCTGCACAAACAATCCTCCCCGGAGAACGGGGAGATTTAACAGAACTTTCTCCCCCTCTCCACTGTGAACCGTTCTGTAGTTTCACAGGTCAGATGATTATTATTTTTTTAAGGTCGTCTCATGGAGTCCTCCCCAAGAGAGACGTGTAGCGGGCAGCTACGTGAGCACCCAGCTGTGCGGAGGCCAAATGTTTTGACTGCAGGAAGCTCGTTAGCTCGTCAAAAAATTTAAAAAAATAGCCGCGTTGTTCAAAGCTTGTGAAATAAGTAGAAATGACGGTAGTTGTGTTTTACAAAATAAAGAAAAAAGCTCGATGGGAATAGCTTAAAGAATCATTTTGTAATTATTATTTTTAAAACGAATATGAATGTAAATATGCAAATGAGTGGGCAGACCCAAACAAGTTGATGGACCCGTTTTGATTTAATAGCAGACACGACCTGCGAAACAACGAGAAGTATTTTTAACGCCTGAAGCAGCTCAACACGAGGCGCGGCAGACGATACGGGCGTTCGTCCTGGAGGTTTGACAACGAAGACGAACAGGATCAGCTGTTCGTCCGATCAGAGCTGTGGTCGAACGCGTCGGGAGTACGTACGCCTGCCAGGTTTCCTGATCTCCTTGGTGATGAGCGTCCGCAGCTCGTTGTTGACCTTCGTCGTCTCGATGTGAATGTGCTTCTTCAGAGCAGAGGGGGACAGGAAGCGGGGCGGCTGCTCCTCCATCAGCATCCCGTCTGCCACGCCGTCGCTGCCCGGCAGCAGCTCGCCTGCCTGCCCGTTCTCCTCCTCATCCTGGTGAAGGAGGGCTTCAGGTTCCACTGCGGCGTGGTTCTCCTGGAGGTCTATGGGCCCCGAGGGGTGATCCACCTCCGAGTCGGAGCTGTTGTCTGAACTGTAGTGGTTCTGGTTCAGGTGGTTAATCATCAGGTCCGGTTCTGGCGTGCCATCATTTAAATCGAGATCTTTAAAGTGAAAGATGAGAAAAGACATCTTGTTTAGTTGCAGCACTCATTTACTCTAAAAAGTTCTCAGAACAATCGGTTTCTTACCCGACGGGTGCCGGGGGCTGTTCAGCGGGGTTACTGGGGGGGTGTAGGCCCTGCCCAGACGCAGCAGAGGTGACATGCAGCGGCGTTTCTTGGGACCCCCACCTGGCATGTTGCAGTTATCTGCAGGTCTCTTGCCCTTGTTCTGAGGTCCGGTCACAAATTCGTCCGCCTCGTCAATCATCATGCCCTGCGGGAAACGTCAGGTGGTTAAAACTCCACGTGCTGTGCACTGCTGCCAGGTCAGGGGAGCGCCAGTCGGCGGGACGTACCTTCTTGTCTAGTTTGAAGGGGTTTCCAAACGTGTGCAGGCGTTTGGGCTGTTCAGGGTCGGCGTCTCGAAGGGGCTGGGGAGCAGCTTTCAGGAAGTCTTGGTAGTTTCCCATCTGGGCGATCGGCACGCTGTGGAGCTGGTCTGGACACGGGACGTCAAGCAGCATTAGTGTGGCATCATTTCTGCGTGGATTTACAGCTAATGTGTTTGTAAAGCCGAGCTACCAGAGTCGTGCCCTCGCAGAGCACAGACGCTGGTGTTGAGCAGGTTCCTCCTCATTCGGCTGAGCTGATCGAGCAGGTGGCTGCGGGGGATGTCGTAGGGATTTCTAAAACTCTGAGGCTTCAAGCCCTGAGCACAGACAAGAAGGAAGAGAAGGCAAAGGTTTCGAGCTGAAATTACAAGTTGAAACAAGTTAAATCTCTACATAAAAATACTTGATGACTTTCCCACACAATTTAAAACTTAAAATCACATAAATGTGGTTGCTGTGAAACTGACGCGCTCCAATCTCCACCGGAGAACATGAGCGTCTTCAAGAGAACCTGCTCAAACTGAACATCACAGCTCAAAGCAGATCCATCCTTACTTTGTTGAGCAGAGCCAAGTGAAAGCCTTGAAACTCTTTGGGGTTGAGCTCCACGGGTACGGAGGGCGCCTCTCCTGTGAGGCTCTGCAGCTGCTGGATGAAGTCCCTGCGCTGGGCTAAAGAGATGCCGCCACCCCGCCAGCGGACCTTCATGCCGGGCTCTGGAGGGGGCTTCTTACCGATCGAGGCAATCAGGCGGTCGTACTCGATCTTCGTCTGGCAACGAGAGCAAACCAACGGTTAAAACTAAAGATGCAGACAAAACATTACCACTATATTTTAAAACCTGGTCAACATGATAAAAAACTGAACAGATGCTTGAGACGTGCAAGGAGCCAAAGTGATCCGTCAACTGTTCTCCAGATGTTTTGAAGGACTTCCAAAGTTTTTCTTTAGACTTTTCCGTCCAGTACCTGAACTTTACTTTTCTAGCTCTGACCCAATAATCATTTAGAGATGAACAAGTCGCACACCGACGTCACCGCTTCCTGTGGGATTTGAGTAGTGAATGTTTGTAGTTTTCCAGAAGAGTGTTTTTCTGGACTGGAATTGAACAGAGAATCAAAGTAAACCTAAATGTTTTTGATCATACAGTCAAGTGGAGTCAAGGAGTTACTCTGTATGTGAATAAAGGCAGTTGTATTTTCTTGCTTGTCCCAAGCAGTGCACAGTGACAGATCCAGCAGTGGAGGAGTCATGGGGTGGCCAATGGTGGCCTCGGCCACCCCAGATTTATTTTCGACCACCCCAATCGTTTGAGGAAATTATACCTTTGAGCAATATAAAAACAAAAAGCAAAGTTTCCTAAAAGATGAGGGGTGGTCGGTTGATATATTTTTGAAGTTATCCAGCTCACAAGGTTTACATAAATACATGTGGCAGCAGCCATCTTGGATTTTGATGTGGCAGTCCAATTTCCCAGTGTCCTCTTGTTCCACCTAGATGAAGCCACACACCAAAACGGAACGCACGAATAGACGGACGGCATTTCCAAATCTCCCGTTTCGCTCGCCGACGGGGGACAACACTCCCAAACCCAAAGGGATGAGCCAGAGTGAAGAACCAATTTTAAAATGAATCTTTAGGCTCTTTGCCATCAGCAGAGTATCACAAAGACTCCGTTTCCATTTAAGCTGTGTCTATAAAAAAAAAAACAAAGATAACATTATTTGAAAGAAAATGGTATTTTAGCATTAAATGATTCCAAAAGAGCCAACAGCTGATCATCTGAATGATGATGAAACTCCTCCTCGTCAGGTCTTTGCTGGATTTGTCCCTTTTTCTTAAATAACTTGGATACTTATTGTCCACCTGCTATAGAAATTTAACGCTGCTTCGTTTGTCCTCCACTATTTCTTTGATCCATTTTTTTTTAACATCGCACAGAAAAATCTGCCATCGTGGTCAGACCAGAGGACTCAACAGAAAATCAGAGATAAAGTCTAAAGAAGATCTTGGAGACTTTTGATCAGAACCACTTTGAAGATTACAACAGTCTGAATGCCTGAAGGCAAAGTGTAAAGAAACGAGATTCTCTTTAAAACTTATTGGATGTTGTGCAAGTTTTAAATTAATAAAGCTGTCATGTTTTTACATTTAAACGCGTCTTCAAATAAAACCGTCCAACAACGAACCTGCTGACTGAGTTTCTTCAGGTAGGAGACCACGCTGTAGCTCAGTCCATACTCCATGTTGTCCGCCAGCAGGTTCGGTGCTCCCATTATTCTCAGCGCTTTCCTCAGGGACTGTGGAGAAACGTGCACATCGGCTGTAAGCTCAGCGCTTCCTTCAAATAAAAAGTAGGAATTACAAGGTCCAAAAGTAAGACCGCGCACAAACCCCGATGTAATAAGGAGGCATGGTCTTCAGGTAGTTCTCAAAGGACTGGCGCCATTTCAGGGTCGGCTTGAACTTGTGCACTTTGATCAAGTCGTCTGCAAAACAACGATCAGAGAACAATATTTGTAAAACAAAACCGATTCCTTTATTAGGCAAAAAAATAAAAAAAAGTCAGAAAGCGGTAAAGAAAGAATGAAAAAATAACAAACAAGGAAAAGAAAGAAAGAAATTAACAAAATGTTCTGTTCATTTTCTCTAGTTAACTTGTTCAAATCACATAAATATCAAATTACATAAATGTTTTTATTACAATAACCAGAGGTGGGCACAGCTAACCAAAAAGAGTTAGCGTCACATGCTTTCACCTCCTTCCAGTTGAAGCTGCGTCGACCAATCACGTCTCGTCACCGTGTACACGTCGTCGACCAATAGCGTGCCTAACGGACTCTTAAGGGACACGCCCACTACAGACGGGAACAAGCTTGTGAATTTGGTAGTGGACTTTAAAAGTTGGCAAAACTTAATTTAGCTGAAGCTAATTCCTAAAATAGCGAAAACGCTAAATTGACTAAACAAAAAAACAAGTTTCCTCTATTCCAGATTAGCAGAACTGTGCCCACCACTGACTATCGGGCCTGGTTAGTACTTGGTTGAGGAAACCGCCTGGAAATACCAAGGGCCTGTCCGACTGGATGGCTCAGGGGAAGTGCGTTGAGTTACCACACGAGAGCCGCGGGTTGGAGTCCGAGTGTCGTGGCAAAATGCGCATGAAAAAAACAAACAATAAAATTAATATAAAAATCAGCGCCAAGAATAAGGCACTTTGCATGGTGGCAGTGTTTAGGGGCCGCTGTGGTGTAGAGGTAGGGCCAGAACATCGCAGGTTAAGCCCCCTGGCCATGCCCACATGTCGTGGTGTCCTTGAGCAAGACACCCAATCCCCAACTGCTCCTTGGGCACCTACAAAGCTGCCCACTGCCCCACCTGGGTGTATCTCAGGTGTGATGGGTTAAATGCAGTGAACTAATTTCATCAATGTATAGAAACAAACAATGATGACAACACATAGCACTTTATTTCTACAACCAACAGTTTCCTGATTCTGGTGACCCATACGTACGCTATATCGCTATATGCATCACAATTTTGATGGAACGGAAAAAAAAAAGTCTGAAACCACCAATGAAATAAAAAAAAAGACTCGTTACCTGAAAAATAAAGTCAAAGGTGACTGTTAGGATGCCACATGTGGAGCGGAGCCTTACCCAGCAGTGGTAGAAGAACGGGGTAGTTGTAGGGCATTACGAACAGGTTGACACAGTTCAGAGCCGTGCTGGCCTTTAGGTATCCAAAAGGTTGACCCAGGTCGCTGTACTTGGCACTGTTACTTACAAACACCTAAAACACAGAGGAGACAAAGTATTCATCACTGAATCTCTGAAATCAGAAACTACAAGCTGATGGAGGAATTCATTTGTGGACATTTCTGTGCTGAATTTGAAACAAGATCACATGATCAATAGCTGGTACAAATATAAAAAGCTGACACTTTAACCAGCGATACTTAAGGTCAAAGGTCTCTGCTGTAGTCATTTTGTGAGAAGCTGAAGCCTAGGAACCACTCTTGTAGCAAACAACAATCCAGGGCTTGATAAATTACAGTTCAATAAATTGATTTTCAAAGATCCCTTAGCTACAAATAACTTGGTGTCACTAAGAGAACAAACAACCTCAACTAGGAGCAAACGAAATGATAAAACAGCAACAAGACACGCAGCAACATCTTTAAGTGGACTGACGAGTCAAAAGCAGATCAGAAGTTTTGAGCGGGACAAGAGAAAGTTTACAGATGTACAGAGACTACACAATAATCCATCTACCTTTCAACTAATGCATACTAGAGCTTGGCTGATATACACGTCTGGGGACATATCAACAGTAGTAATTGTCCCATTATTCGTTGATATGAACACTTCTAAGTTTCACCCCTAAAATGCTGGAATCAGGCATAATTGTACGATGTATCCAGCAAAATGAGCATGACGACTACTTTCAAGTCATTGCCATTCACTTAAGTTTCACTTTCAGGACAGTTGAAGAAGGGAGCAATACTGTGTAGAGTATTTTGTTGAACAGAGCATGGTAAGTTTATTGTAACTGATCCGTAAAACAAAAACAATAATAAATTCTCTTCAATCCTCAAACCCGCTTGTCATTAGCTACGTGCCTCTGAAGTTAGCAAGCAACATTTAGATAACCTAGCATAGGCTATTTCCTTGTAAAACTTTAGCCAGAACAATAAATCTAATGTAGATGTAAAATATATCAGTGTTAGTAACATCATCTTTGTCGTCCTCGATGAAATGCATCGTCTGAAAATCTTTACTTCTCTGTAAAGTTAACTTTTAGACCTTCACCATTCATGACTGACTGAACAATGACCAGGGAAGTGCGTTTCTTTGTTTGATTTATATTTTTATAACACACTTGATAACTTTATGGTGAATAGAATATGTGAACGCACATTAGGAACACTATTTTATGAACAGTGCACCACTTGTAAACCTCCTGTGGGACTACGTATAGTGTGGATCTGATTAGCTTAGCTTCATGGTTGCTAACAGCCGTGCTAAATAAACAAGCTCCGTTCCACTCGATGTTTTCTTGGATTCTTTGGGGTGGACAAAGCTAAAAATTCCAGCCATCATATCAGTTAATCGGCCGTCACGTGACCCTCAAAATATTGGCGTTGGCGATAGCCAAAATTTCCATACCAGTCAGACCCCCCCCCTTTTCAGCTTCTCCTTTCTTTAGGGGTCGCCACAGCAAACCAAGTCACACAAAGACTTTGCAATTATTTTACGCCGGATGCCCTTCCTGAAGCAACCACAGACACTGAGCTACCACAGCCCTCTGTGTGGAGCAGAGAGCTGCATCTAGGACACCCGGAGGAGCAGATGGTGGGGGTTAAGGGCCTTGTTCAAGGGCCCAGAGGGGGACAAATGAGGGTGGAGGCCGGTGTGGGTGCTTCACCTATCCCACCAACATTTTGATGTCGTCGGTACCGGGAGTTGAACCCACAATATTCTGCTCACAGGTCCACCTTCTGTAACCTCTGCACCACCACTCCCCATACCAGTCGGGCTCTAATGTATTTTTAAAAAAAAGTGATAAACTCCTGGAGCTGATCAAAACAAGACGCCACAGACACACGTAGGTTCTGCTTCTCCGTCTGGATTCGTGTTCGTGGCGTACCTGCCAGCAGGTGTGAGGGGACTTCCTCTCCAGGATGTACTGCGTGAGCGGCGACGGCTCCAGCTCATACTTGTCAAAGGGCACCTTGTCGATCACCATGGGCTCAGCGTCCACACAGGAGAAACGTATGTGGGGGTGGGCTGAGCGGGGGGGCTGCGTAGGTAGAGAGGAGTGAAATCATCAGTGAAACTGCAAACAGTTCAGGTTTTCTTTTAAATATGACAAATTCATTAAAACCCTTTGTGTTTTTATACGTCTCTTACAAGTGTTGGAGAGTTCTGATCGGGCCAGAAGGCTTCAGGGATGGGCCAGTGACCGATGGGGACACCGGTTTTAGGGTTTGGTCGCACATAGATCAGCTTGTGACAAGAATGCCAAGGCTGGGGACCAGACTTCAGTGCCTCGGCCGGAGCGTCTGTTCAGGAACACGGATGTGATTTACAAACATTAAAAACATTCACAGTACAGCGAAACTCTAGCTCAGTTTAAAATGTAGGTGGGCGAAGAGCTTCGTGCTTCAGACTGATGCAGCACAGGAGATTCCAGTTAATTATCAATTCTACTTCAATCAAATGAAGACGTTCCTCACCCTCTAGAGGAGGGGGGTCGGGCCCGGTCTTCTCAAAGTTGATCACGACTCCACTTTGGATCTTCTGCACCAGAGACTCCAGACACTGGTTCAGCATGCGCTGCGAGAAAACGCTGTAGGAACGTCCTGCAACACAAAAACTCTGCACTAAATATAAACCCTCAAAATATGAAAAGTTTCACGTCGTGGTGTCCATAACAAATTTATGCAACGTCCCTTTACTCAGGCAAACGTTTGCAAAAAGCTGCTGTAATAAAATCCATTTTAGGGTTTTCTGTGGGTTTGTGCTCATAAAATATTGGCTCATTTTGGCCTCATTTACATTTGCTCCTGCTGGAGTCGCAGTGAAATGAGCAACAAAAACAGTAACTGCTGCCTCTGGAGAGGCTGGAGGACTCCGTGAAATTATTATAAATCTATGATTAATCTGTTTGTTGGCATTTAAGAAGAACAAAAGTCAGTTTGCAAATTAAAAGAACTCAAGATCGACCATTTTGATGGGCAAAGAACTAAATAATTTAGAAGTAAATGATACGTGGGAGCTGCTTTATGTTAAAATGTAAAAGAAGCTTCAGAGGTAACGTTTCAGGAACACTTTAAACTTTTTGTAAAATCAGAAGAATCAAATAAACTCAGAAAAATTAATTAAATCTATTTAGGTGAACAACTTTTCGTTCGAATGTGAAGTCCACCTGCAGTTCGTGACCTCACAGTGAGGACTGAGCAGTTAACGGTTCTCTTTTTATCATGACTCCGCTCTTTGACCGTTATCGGTAGAGACGCACCGATCCGATACCAACATCGGTCCCGATATCGTAAACACTTCTGGATCGGGTATCGTGACAATGTGACCGATCCACGACTGGGCAGATCCGTTCACTACTTCTATGCTTTGTGCTCTGAGCGACGTCACGCGTTGGCGAACTCGCTGCAGATCGTTTTCAAAATGGAGTTTTAAAGTTAATTCAGCAGCTCAACCATCCAGGTTGACAACAAAAATGGCTAAATCACGTCATCTGGACCCGTTTCAGAAATGGGTCCAGATGGCGTGATTTAGCCATTTTTGTTAATTCAGCACAGTTTTTCTGTATCAGATCAGTATCGACCAATACCAAACCACCAGACATCTGTATCGGTAGTGGGGAAAGGGGATCGGTGCACCCTAGTCATCAGTCCTTCACACTTCAGTGGCCCTCAAATGGCAGCCCACGGTCCAGATCCGACCCACGAGCCCTCCAATCTGTATGTTCTGTCTGCACCATGCGGTCAGTCCAGAACCTGATCCGGAAAAACACAAAGGTCTTGAATTGTTTTGTTTAACTTTTTAACCACGGGGGTAATTTCCTGATGCATGCTCAATAATCCAGGTAGAAAAATCTAAAAGAGTTGAGTGTGGTCCTCGGGACATAAAAAAAAAAAAAGTGTTTGTTTTGTTGTTTGAATGTCCGGAGAACCAGACTTAACATTTTTACACAAAGGGAATTGCTCCACTTCCCAAAACGTATGGAACAGAGCAAAAGAGCAAAGGAAAGGAAGATCCCGTCTCAACATTGAACTCTGTCAAGAGCTGGAGTCGACTCGTAAACGAACACTTGCACCAGCGTCTTCGCCGGGCCGTCACTCCGTGTGTGCCAGAGTCTTTGTAAAAACACACAACATGCCATTTCTCTCAGAGTATTCGTTTACCAAAACTATTCTACAGAGAGGCTCGTTTTTTGTTAAATTGAAAGAAAAAAATTGGATTTACTTTAGGAAGAATTTTAATTTTTGAGTTTCTGAGTTCCTTGAATCACATTTTATTGTGACCCTTTATATTAATACCGTATTTTTAAAAAAAACCAAACCCCTCATATTTTTAATTTTTTTTGGCAGGAGTTTCTTTTTCAACTATTTAAATTTATATTTAAATGAAAACGACAGTTTATTTCAGTATGTATATTTGCTGTTTTGAATTAAAATAACTTTTTTTAAAGAATAACTCTGGCTTGTGGCTTGACCAGTTATAATAAGTGGACCTTCAACATTTTTTATTCGAGTGCCCGCTTTAGATAAATACACAAGTACCACTGCATGAAACACGGCTCTAGAAATTTCTGTAATTAGTCGCAGCGTCAAAATAAAAGCGGCATGATCCGGACAGACTAAAACAGATTAGCGTTAGCCTTGCAGCTGCATGATGCCGCCCACTTCACCTGTAGTGACCCCGCTGTGCACCCCTTCACATCTGCTTTCAATAGGCCGGGGGCTTTGTGTCCGGCCTGCCACCAGCAGGAATGAACCGGCAGCACGCACCGTGGACGGTCACCCACAATGGAGCCGTGTCATGTTCTGTATTCAGCACCACGACTGGGACATGAACTGCCTTCAGCGTCGTTCTGCGTGTTCCCCCCGGCAGCACGGAGGAGCTGGAGACGGCAGGAACACGAGCGTTTGCTCCTCGAGGCTGCCAGAAGCTCGAGTTTATTCTACAAGCAGAGATGACGGATTAAAATCTCAGGGACAAACAAAGGTGCTGCCGCAGTCCTGAGCCGGGTGGGAAAATCTTCTTAACCCGAATCAACGACTACTGAAACTCGCTTAAACGCAGAATTCAACTCACATCCATAGGAGAGCTCACTGCGCTGAGACCGTTTCGTCCTTCTGTTTGACAAAAAGCTTGATTCAGTACCGTTATTTTATTTTTACGTAGAGGTTTTCATCGGACGGCCGAATGCGTTTAACAAACAACGATGTTTGATGTGCCGTTCTGGAGACCTGAGCCTGTCGCAGCCTGCCCCACCAGGCACGTTGCTCAGGTGAAATATGTCCGGTTGGGTTTTGTAACATTCAGCTACTTTCACTAAAACGCACTGCAGCACAAGACGGAACATTTTAGAAACTGGTTTTCCACGTAATAAAATGTTAAATACAGAGGACTGTACGTTCAAACACATTAACCTTTCAAGATTAAATTAATGAATTTCTGTCATTTCTTCACTCGGGAACAGATGCAGGAATGTCACAAAAAGACTATTCATATAAACGTTTCTTCTACAAATTAAATTACGTAATTTAGCATCAAATCCTTTCCCTCAAATTTCCATAAATCATCTAAACCAGCATTTAATCTTCCTGAGCAGATTAATCTGTCACACATCAATTTGTTGCTCCACAGATTCTGGAAAAGTAAAAAATTAAAAACTCTGTTCGTCACGAACATGAAACGGACTCCAACTCCCATGATGCCGCTGAGGCAGCTTTTATGAAACCTTCCACTCCCGTTATAAACTCTCTCCCCTAAGGTTTCAGCCTTCAACTTTATCGATCCAGTCTAAAACCAAAGCCGACGGACGGAGCGCCTGGTGAGCAGGGAACAGTTACAGCCGAGCACATGGACCTCAGGAAGTTTGCCAGTAGGACTAACCGAGAGGCAGAGGATGCTACTCTCTCCCTCAGCAAGGCCCATAATCATCTGGACAACTCCAAGACATGTTTGTATATTAGTCGTGGACCTTTCATCTGCTTTTAATACGGTTCAGCCACACATACTTGTCAGCAGCCGTCTTGTGTTGTGGATTAGTTTTTGAGGGGAAGACCCCAACGAGTCTGTGTTGATAACACTATCTGACTGCAGAGTTTTGAACACTGGTGTTCCACAGGGTTGTGTGCCATCCCCACTTTTGTTCTCTTTATACATAAATGAGTTGCAACATAAAGACTTCACATTAATCAAGTATACTGATGATACGGCCCTAGTCGCTGGTCTGAAAAACACCGATAGCCCCTCCCACTCCCAGCTCAGATCAGGTTTGACGACAGTTTTCTGGACGTTAACGTCAGTAAAACCAAGGAGCTTTGTTTGGGAGGTCGATGGGGAGCAGCCAGCACCAGACCTGTATTCAGACCTTCTGCTATAAAAAGGAAGGAAGTAGAGCAGGTGACTGAATTTAAATATCTCTGAACAATAATTGACAACCAGTTGACCTTTTAGCACAACTCTGACTGGATTTACAAAAAAGCCAGACAGCGTCTCCACCTTCTGTACGAGCCAAGGAGCTTTAGTGCAAGCACAATTACTTTGCAGTTGGTGTACAGGTCCCTGGTTGAAAGTGTTTTCTTGAATATTGTCCCATGGTGTGGGAACCTCCAAGCCAGAGACAGGAACAAGTTGTCCCAGGTGGTCAAACAGTAAAGTCATTGGTCATCAACAAATGCAACCTATAGACCTCAGTCAGGTTCTAGAAAAAAAAAAAGACAATCCAGGTTTACAATGACCCAACTCATCCACTGCAACCATTACTCAGGTTGGTAGCATCTGGCAGAAGACTGCTGGTTCCTCTGGTAAAGAAAAATGCAGTGCGTCTTTAACAGGGTCATATTTAAACGCAGCCTCACGTGACAAACCGAGATGTTTTTAATGCAGCGTGTATTTTAGAATCGATTTCATCGGGTTACCAAATTTTATCACATTTTGGTTACACATTGTTGTCGTTTTGTACGTATGAGCCAGATGCCAAAGATTAATCTCCATCTCATGAAATGTTACGAGTTGAAAATGTTTGAACCGCTTGGGCATGGCTGTCTTAGAGGAGTTGACGGGGGAGAGGGCGGGCCCCAGAAACCATCTCATCACCTGCAAACTATTTTCCCACTATGGGAGTTGGTGCTTGTGGGACTCCAGTTTGTTGGTGGCTCCTCAAACTGAAGAAGTCCTTTGGATGAAGGACGAAACATCTCAGCAGAAAAAAAAAAACCATCCAGATGACCTGACTGAACATTGCATGAAATGTTACGGACAATAGTTACATTGATTTATTGATTGATCTGAAGCTCTATAATCCCTGCAGAACACGACACCGACTGAACTCTTAGGACGAGGAGTTCGTCTCGCATCGCGTGAACTTGTATTTAATTGGTGAATACAGTGCACTCATACTATTCGGTTCACCAACCTCCAGTGACCTCGCACATGGGTGTGATGGGAGAATCGTCGGGCGGGACGCCACCGAGGGGTTCGGGCTCAACTGAAGCGTTGCCAGGGATACGCAGCACCAGAGCAAACAGACGTTGGTCCCAGCGAAAGGGCTCCTTGGTCAGCTCGCTGCCCGGCAGCGGGGTGGTCAGAGGCAGATGGAGCTGAAGACCGAGGACAGAAAACTTCAGTCACAAGAGATTTGATATTTTCTATAAATACAGTTTTCCCCCCCTTTCCTAACTTTTTTTAATGGGCAGCTGTAAAATTAAAGAGCTTAATGCATAAATTAGCCAGTTCATGGAAATGATTAATTCCACCCATTAGTTTTACCGTTTGGCCACTTTCCCTCCACGTTACTGCTGTCAAAGCAACAAAAGAGCTGAAAAAAGAGGAACAAGAGGCTTCGCTCCAACAAACAGCTCAAAAATACTGAGTGGTATTTTAATGTTTTGTACCCAAAACAGAAGGAGGGTAGTTTTTAGCAGCTTTCCAACAAATATGTGAATGATGCTAATACAACGAGCAAAAACATGTTAATTAAATTTAGTCACTCTATTTATTCAATGTCCGGCCTTATAGTGGGGTGTTTTGGAAAAACTATAAGACTGGTTGCTTAGAACCACCATGGTGAGAAAAAACAATTAAAGTCAAAGTAAATTCAAGTAGTTGCTTTTAATTTAAAGATGTGCAACAAACTGGCCTAAATTTTATACTCACGTTAAACTTGTTCTTTTACTTTTAAGTGGGATACTTAATCATTTTTCCAACAAATAACATTAAGTCGGTATTTTAATTTGGATCAGAATTGGTATACAGCAGTCCCTCGTTTATCGCAGGGGTTCTGAGATCATGACAGGCTGCAGGAGCTTCCCCTGCACACATGGTGCAAAATAATTTAAAATAATCAATCCATGGCTCATCCATCCATCAGACAATTGCGTCACGTCCAGTCTTACTTTGAAAAACTGCGATATAGCAAACCCGCGACAAACGAACCGCGAAGTAGCGAGGGACTCCTGTACACTTGTTTTTCCCCTTCTTTGCATAAATATGGTATTTTCTGTCCTAAAAATTTAAATATCATTAAATGTTCAAACTAATTATATACTTTTAGTTTGATGATGTCACCCCCAGCCCTCCAACAAACCCGAAGTGGCCCATGGGCCATCAGTTGATGACCACAGTTGTAGCAAGTTTTGAACACACTGTGAGCAAAGAGGCAGAAATGGCTCTTTGATGGAAAAGGTTGCAAACCCCCGCTGCACCCCGGCTCAGACCCGAAGCCCGTCTGGAGACCAACCTCGTCCTGCACGCCGCCGCTGCCCGTCAACTTGTTGCCATCGCTGATTGCAATGATGATGGCAGGCTCAAGGAAAAATGGATTCCTTCCCTATGGAGGAGAAAAGACATTCAAGATTAAAAGAATAAAACATTTTCACTCGTTTCAGGTAAAAATAAAAAACTAACTTTTTTAAATAACTGAAGTTAAACAGGAACTACTGAAGAAAACACAAGTGCCCTTTATTATCTGCAAGACCCCAGAACATTTCAAGACCTCAGCACTCCCTGCTGATGGAAAGAAGCTGGACCAGGACTGAATTCATCTCCGTGCATCAGTCTTAAGGGCCCCCACCGCAGGTCACCGTGCGAGTCGACGACGTCAAACCTGAATGCGGTCCGACACATTCGCTCAGCGGCGTGGAGCTCGCTCAGACCGTCCGGTCCCGACAGCACGGGCTTCAACAGGAGTGGATCCACTCGTGTTGGACTCGACCTGTGATCAATCCGTCCACACAGCTCAGAGTAAACAGAGCAGGAAACGACCTGCTCTACTGTAGGTATCCATGACAACCAACCCCCCCCATGCCCAGAATCCTTTCATAACGAGCACTTTCTTGGCACGCTAATGAGACGGCTATAAAACAAAAACTGGAGAAAACCTAAATATAAAAACCATAGAGGCCCGTTTACTGCTTCGTTTGGTTTTCCTCGTCTAAAACTAAACCGATCATGGCCTACTTCTATGAAAAGCAGGCCATCGTACGTGCATGTGCTTAGGTTCACATCTGTTAGCAAAATATCTCATGAACCACGGAGTGGATTATAATGAAACTATTGGAAAGTAATCACTGGACGAACAGCTACGACTGATTAACTTGTGGAGCCAATCCAAGATGGCCACCACCGCAAACTGAATTCAGCAACCACAAACAGCCGTCACCCAGTCAGTCGTTCAGACACTGAGCTGAAATTCGGCGTGGGAGTCGCTGAGAATCGTCTTCATCAGGTATTCCGAGTGCCATCAGATCACAAGATCGTTAACAGTAAATCTTTTCCATTCAAGCTAGTTTTGTTTCATAATGGGGCTTTTTATTTGACGGGACTTCTGCAGACATCAAGCTTCAGGAACATCCTTTGGACATTTCATGTTTTTGATATTTTACAAACCAACCAACTAGTAAATATGGACAATGGCAGACTTGCAGCCTTGTTGCTGATAAAATCAACAATTATTGCAGAAGTCAATCGTATGCAAAGGGATTAAATATTATTGATCGCCCGCTCCCGTTTGATCGTCTTGTATGGAAGCTGATCAGTATCAGGAGAACCCGCTGCCTGTCTCACATTTACTTCTGCCCGTCTCACACCTCTTCATCTCCCAGAAGAGTCGTCTCGTACGGCTGACGACCAGGAAAGCTCCCTCCAAGGCAAGTTGAACTTCCCTTCACCTCTTTAACACACTGAACACTTTGAGCAAGTATGTAGCTAGGAATAAAAAAAAAATAAATACTTTTCAAGTTATTGGAAAAAACAGCAAGAGATATTATCCTGATGCATGCTCAATAATCCAGGTAGAAAAATCCAAAAAAAAAAAAAAGTTCAATCTGGTCTTCTTATGTTTTCCATGAAGACAAAGGCAACATCACTTTAGCTAGGCTTTGATTTACAAATTAATAGAGCCGAGCTGGAAAAAGCAGCTTTCAGCTCGACAAATCTGTGCTTGTGAACACAACAGTCTCAGGTTTATCACCAAGACCTGCAGCTGATACATTCATCTCTAATCATCTGAAAACGAGTCCTGCTCACATTCTCTGGAGGTCAGAAGAACTCGTTTGATGGAACCAAACTGTCCCAAGCTCCACTTAACTAAAAGAGAAACCATAAAAAACGACAAACACTCCAAAGACGGACGGCTCCACTAGCAACGACTCTCTTCAAAGGGTCGTTCAGGTTTAGTTAGAGCGGTCGAAGAGAAGATAAAAACACTGAAAAGCTGGTTTGGCTCTCCTGTATGGCTGGTTCATGACTGCTTCATGGGGCTTTGCTTCCTTTTCAAAATCTTTTAGCGTACCAGATGGTGTCCAACATATATCTTAGTGTACATCTAGATCCTTATATACAGTTTTTATACTTCTGTTTTTGATATTTTTGGGTGTAACTGGGACCCTGAGGACACAATTCCGTTCCACCTCATGTACCACGTGATCCGAATGACACTAAACTTGAACTTAGTTTATGTCACTGTTTGCACGCTTGGTTGAGGCGACACTCGTCGGACCTTATGGTGACCTCAGTCTTGTGACAATATATTTAGAAGTTGTTAAAAATAAAAAAAGCATGTTATTTTTCCAATCATTGATCTTTAAATGGGTTATGCCAACAGAAACAAACTATTGGTAATCTCTCAATAAAAGCTGCTTCAGTCCAAAAAGACAGCAGCTTTTGCTGGAAAAAGGTATAAATATAAAAATAAAAAAGTATTGGCCTCGCTCAAGTTCGGCTGCACTGAATATATGTGAACAGTGACCTGCCACTGTAAAACGTGGACCCGACCGTCTCTACGTGTGCAGCTGTGAAACTGAAAACAATTAGATGCACAAATACGACCGATGTTTTTAAACCAACTGGATTCAAACAGTAATTCAAACAAACGGTTAAAACGGGTCAGTTGCAGATGATGAACATGTTATTGTGTGGTAGTAGCCGAGAGTCGTTCCTGTTGTACTCCAAGCACCAACAAACCACAAGACGTTCGTTTAAAACCAACTTCTGAACCTCGTGCTGCATTTCATCATCGTGCACGGTACTTTTTCATTCAACCTTTATTTATCCAGGTTAGTGTCCCGCTGAGCCTACGTCATCTACAAATCAGATAAACTCGTTAATTATTTAAATTATCTGAGAGAACAGCTGATAAAAGAACCTGCCTAAAGTCAAAAGCAATAAGAAATAAACTATTTGACATTTTAAAACAAAAACAGGTTCAGATATATTAAAAATGGTTGTAATTATGTCTCATGTTTACAATTATATTTACTTAGTTCCTGTTAATTGTAACGAGGGTGAGATATCTGAACATAACTTCTAGTTGAGAGAAGGCAGCAGACAGAGGCTTATTAAATTATAAGTATTGTAAAATCAATTTGTCATTAAGAGTGACCGGAGCAGAACACACCAACCCTGACTTTGGCTTCATCCGTTTGTGCTCTCTTTGGTGTGTGTGTGCACGTGAGAGAGAGACATGCATTATAAATGCTTAATGTTTGCATTTCACTACAGTGATGAGGATCTTCCATTTATTACGCAGGAAGTGGTTTATCAGCCCTGTACCTCAAAAATAAAAACCCGATGTCCAGATTCTTTAGCACAGGGGTTCCCAGCTCTGCTCCTTGAGGAACGCCATCCTGCACGTTTTAATCGTGTCGCTGCTTTGACACACCTGATTACATTGAACAGGTGATTACCAGGCTCCTGCAGAACTCGAGTCACCGAATCAGGTATGTTGGAGCAAGAAACAAAACATGCAGGGTGTTCCTCAAGGACCACGGTTGGGAACCCCTGCTCTAGCAGAACCTTTAAAAACCTAATTTTACAGCCCTGAAATTAATCGTACGCTCCCCCAAGTAATGTAGTAATGTTTAAGGAGCATTTACTTATTTGAAACCTGTAAAAATGCGTTTTAATATTTTGTGCACCCATTTTGGAACAATTATAAACACTTGTTTTATAACCGTTATGCAGGATTGATGGCACTTAAATTTATAAATCATTTAGTATGCATCATGTATCCAGTTGTGTTTGGAAAAGGTTTAAGGTTCTAATCTCACCAAATAGGGATTTAATGTCACACATCACCTGATTAGCGATGGAATTTGCAATATTACCAAAACAAAAACGGTAAGTTCCTTCCTTATTGTATGATTTTTATGCAGTTGTGTTTGTGTTTGACTGCAAATGTGTGGGTCCACAGTATGCAGGTTGTTGTTGATGCTTGCACGACTGGGGCGAAGGTGAAGGGAGTGACGGGAGCTGGCGAGTTGGGTTTGGAGGTGCGTTTACACTTCTTCATAGCTCTTTTAAACTGAACCCGACTTCCTCTGCCTCTTCAGAGCTACATACCTGTCCATAGTTGTCTATGCCCGTCACTAATCTATTGAGATTGAGTAAATCAAAAGACGTCCTCAAAGACTGGCCAAAAGTTGTGAGTCCGTTCGCTTGGAGGTTCCTCAACTCTGTCATGAAAGTAGCGTGGCTCTCTTTCCATCCAGCCTTTAGAAAAGAAAAAAACACATGTGTAGTTAATAATAATGCACAATATCAAATAGCTACCTACAAAATACTTTATACAGCTTGCTTCCTCAGTTTATTAAGAGGAATAATTTAACAGTGCAGCAAAGACCTGGATCAGTTTTTTGAAGCCAGTGTTGTGCAACCTGCTTGGGCTCATAAAACACAAGTGTGCCACGACTCAAAACAAAAAGTCAATTTTCTCTAAACAAGTAAAGTAGGCTAGTAGTCCCCCCCCCCTCCACCCCCCAGATATCACCTCTCTGTATAAATAACACCCAGAGTTCCTTGCTGCTCTCTGAAACAAAATGTCGGCCATGTTTTAAAAGGGGTATGAAAGCTCCTGAAGATTTTTTTTTTTTATCCTCTACAATTGAACCACAACGTGGTGGAGCGATGAGTCAGTTTGTGTAAAGCTGGACATGACCCGAAAGCATTTTCTACCTTGATCCCGAACGGAGCATCTTCAAAATTTACCAACATGTACCGGTCCCCTCGGCTCGCCGGATCTCTGCCTCGGAGCTGTGGAGAGAACAGTAGACAATCATTTTTACGGCGAGACAGCTTGGGTTTGACAGGCGAGCTTCGCAACATTAAAAGAGATAATCCGAACTTCAATTCGGCTCGGGGGAGCTCCCGATAGAAATGTTCCCCGTGGTTACAGTACCTTCATAAAAGTCTCAACAGCGCCTTTTGCTATGTCCAGATAGGTAGTGCCCAGATGGGTGCGCTGGTTCATTGAAGCGGACGTGTCTATCAGAAAAAGTAAAACGGGCATTGTGATGGTAATGACACGTTCTGCATGGACTTGGGTGTCAGTACAACCGGTCAAAACGCAAAAAAAATCTTTTGTTCTCCTGCCGCCTGTCTCACCTCACAGCTAGCTAGCTAGCTAGCAGGCTAACTGTCTCACACATTCTTTCCAAAAAAGTGTAAGAATAGTGAGTATAGAAGCCCATTCCAGGAAAACTAAGCTAAAAGCCTCAAAACCTTGGGGCAGGTTAATGATTTACGAGGGATTTTGATAATTTTTGTTATATTTTGAAAATATTCCTAAGTTTCATAGCAACAATGTTCCCTCACAGAGAGTCCCTGCTTCTCCCTACACTGAATGCGCTGTGCCTCTTCCACCGCTTTTAATGCGAGCTCCACACCTGACCCCGCCTCCTGAGAGCGCTTTCCCCGTCACGTGCAAACACCCTCGCTTCTCATTGGCTACCTAAAGCCTCTCATTAGCATATCCAAATAAGGCTGAGCTGAACGTCTCCTGCGCATGCTTGCCTAACCGAGAAGCAGGAATACAAGGAAAATATACTGTTTTTTTTTTTTTTTCATTTTGTGATCAACAACACAAAACTCCTGGCTAAGCAGTTCTTCAGAGCGCTTAGAGAGTTTATTTTAAATACAGTTTAATTAACTATAAGTTGGTGTTTGCCCTGAAAGCTGATTACATAATTAACATTTACTTCATCCTATGCACGGGCGTGGGCCACTGTGAAAGAGATACAAACGAAACAGACAGAAGCTACTCAGTTTTTCATAAAATATGAATAATATAAGTTGAAAAGGGCAGTCGGGTTTTACAGAAACAGCTCCCTATGACAAGTGTTTACGCGTTTACTTTACGGTAGTGTTTTTATAGCTTTGTACACATGGATGTTTTTAAGTGTTCCACATCATCATGCATGGTCGTGTACTTTTAAATGCCACATGACACAAAGTGCAACACGACCATGAACACTTCCGTAAAAAACAAGACGAAACCATCCAGCATGTCACACGACACTCCGTCCTTCCGTTTGAGTCCTGCAGAACCGCTCCACACACTGATTTCCGGTTTATCACTGAAAGTCTTTTCAAAACAAAACTAGTTTGTTATTTAACGCAAAACTTCACCCATATTTTAACATCTTCAAAAATCCTTCTCTTGTTTTATTAATATTACAGTCTTTATAGCATTATATTAAAACCATCTTGACATTTATTTCCATTTATTAAAACTGAAATGCATTTTGAAATCGCTTCTTGGTTTTATTGTGAAATTCGTAGCAGAACATGCCGGAAACGTTTATTTTCTCGGACAACTTTCAAGAAACTAGTTTTTACACTATTTGACTGTCCCGTTAGTGCTAGCGCAGTACATACTATTCGTGATATTTATGAGAAACTTGATTATTATTATTTTTTTTTAGTTTACCAAAACAACCTCGAAAATATGTGAGGTATTATGAAAACCTATGTTTTATTCTGAAAAAAATATTAAAAAAATAAACTCACTGTAAATTTTGAATAATTGTAAACTTATATGCATAATGCTCAGTAAATATTTATGAAATAAAAAAAGTGCTTAGTTGACAAAGGCACCACTTACTTGCACTGGTTAACTGGTCATCATTAACTTCACACAGACTCTCTGGTACATTTTCATCTTTTAATCACATCCTGGTCTGCTGCCTTCATACATCTCCTCCAACATGTCACTGCCTGAGTGCAGTTACAGCGTGCGCTCTCAGGACATCATTACCTGCAGTGTTCCCTCATTGAGGACTGAATTAGGCAAAAGGGCCTTCTCCTACTCCGCTCCTGTTTCCTGGAATATTTTGCAAAAAGATCTGAAACTCTCGACCTTTGACCTCTCTAAGTGGCTTCAAACATCCGAGGAAAACCAATAAAGACTTCTGTTTTTAGTATTCTACACCGCCTTACAACATAGCTGTTTTTTTTGCTACTTTTCCTTTTAACTATTCTTTTAATTACCATTTTATTTTCACTTGTTAATTTTTTGTACGGATCCTTTATGATTGTCTATTGTTGTTGTTGTTGTCCATTGGTGTCATCACTCTTTGTTAAAGAAATCAGGTCTCTCTTATAAATGAGTCCCTGAGTCTCAATGGGATTAACCTGTATAAATAAAGGTTGAATAAAAAAAAAATAAAAAAAAGGCACCACTTACACATTTTCACTGGATGTCCAAAACATATTTTTATAATAGGTCACAGTCTGCCATGAACTTACTTTAATATTTTTTCTATAATTTGGATATTTTGGTGTACTTGCTCAGTAAAAAACAAACACATCGGTATAATCTCAAAACCTAAAAGCACATTGGGGTCATACAGTAAAGGTTGAGTGAAAAATGTGAAAACACATTGAGAGTAAGAAAGACAATAAGAGTTAAAACTAAACTAAACAATGGATTTTACTAGATGAAAACTGCAGTTTACGAACAACTGAAGACTTGCACATGTTGGATGTCTATTTAACCCTAGAAGTTATAGCTGGGCAGAGGCAGGCTGCTATTTTTAGTTTCACCACTAGATGTCAGTAGTTTACGCGTCCTTCAAAACGCCAAGTTGTCTATTGGTTTTTGTCAGTGTTGTTTTTCCAAAATATCATGTAACACATAATTTTTCATCAAGACAATTATACGAAAGCATACTCGGAAGTACTTTTATTTGTAAAGCTTTTAATTTGAAAGTACACTAATCCGAGCGGAAGTCTTATTTTCTCCACCGGAAATGGTGCGTTTGATTGTCGTCCGTGTTTTGTTAGCTTGCTGGTTGTACGCACAACAAGGTACGTTGCTTCCCCGGGTCAGCTACATGTAGCAGCTTTGAACCGAACCTCGACCCTCGGAGTCCGGACGGGTTCTGCTCCTCGGTTCGCTCACCGGCTGCTCATGGCGGCAGAAACTCGGCCGCAGGCTCGAAAGCCGTGCCTGCTGAGCAAAATCGAGGGTTTTCAGGAGGTGGTGACCGCAGCGGTGATCATCCCTAAAGAGGACGGCGTCATCAGCGTGTCCGAGGACAGGTAGGCTGCAAAGCAACCTCACCTGAATCACTTTCAGGTGGGACGGGCTGAGCTCACGCGCCTCCAATGATTCATGCAGGAGCTGCCAGTCCAGGATTCCTTCATTCATTAATTAATTAATAAATAAATAAATGTCTGCCTTGTTTTACAATTCAATCTTTTTTTTTTCAGAGCTGCGAAACTTTCATGAGAATTGACACAACTCATTATCGTGTTTTATTATAAATATCAAAAGACAAGTTCGTCACATCATACTATTAAATAACTTTTAAATAGACATTTAGTATATTTACACGTTAAAACAAAGAAAGACCAAACTTTTGTTAAAAAAAATGGAAAATCTAATCTTTATGAGTTATTGTGGGAATAACTATTCAGGTAAATATTAAAATATTTGCATTGCTACTTTTTATCAAGCAGGTATTTGGTGTTTTTATCAAAACAATTACTTTTATGCCTTGTGACATAATAAGTTCATAAATCCACATTTGTGTTTTTTAACTTTGCAACTCAAAGTGTTGTAACAAATATTAGTTTTAATGGTCAGAGGAAGTGAAATCTTGAGGAGGTAAACAGGTTTGTGTTGCAGAACGTTTGTTTAATTTGCACAAACTTGTTTTCCTTGTTCCTGACCAAACCTGGGTTTAAACCAGCAACCCCAGCTCCCCCCGAGCTGCTGCGGCTCCTCTGATATTAATTTATTGCATAATCTAAATAACCAATATTTCATTTCAAACTCAAAATTAACAACTTTATTTTTTAACGTTCAACTGTGGCGTTAAAGACTAAACAAAGACTTTCCAATTAAAATAAAAGAGCCAGCTCCAGCATGACAAACTAAATAAAATGTAGCTTGTGTTATTTATGTTGTATTTAAATAAAAATATAATATGTAGCATGTTGTAAGGGTACTGTTAAGAACAGCAGCAAACTGTGGTCAGAACGCCACAAATACATATCTATCTATATTTATATATATATTTGGCCTGGCCAATAAAAAGGTCTCGTACTCTAAATATTTCGCTGAACCGCCTTTAGCTTTGATCACGGCGCACATTCGCTGTGGCAGCGTTTCCACAAGCTTCTGCCGTGTGACCACACGGTTGTTTAACAGATGAGAAGCTCTGCTTCAGTCGGGGTTAAACAAACTGTCGCCAGCTCAAACACAATCCCTCGTGCAGTAATTATGCAACGGGAGGCTCATACCTATTTGCTTAATTAAATCCAGGTGCTGACCTTTATCTAGGTCAGGCAGTTCGTACCAGAATCCTAAAGGACCATTTATACAAATAGTTCAATGAGGAACACTCGTAAATTTTCACACGTTTTTTTGTAGTTCATTTCCTTGGTGGCTTACAAGGGAGGAACAAAATGTGCGTGAGAAGCACTTACCGTATATTAAAGGTGAACAGGTCTATAATTTAGTTTAAGTTTTTAATTTAGACCAGAGTTGGAACAGTAATTTATGAGGTTCTGGTAAATTTGTCTCTCAAACTGGGCTCCCACAGCGATTGACATTTAGTACAGCGTGTAATGCAGGCGTCAGCTTCCTGCGTTTAGAACAGTATAGATTATTTTAAACCTTTTTTATTGTTGTTATAGTTTTTCTGAGCTCTGAGAACGTCGGCACGTAAAAGCGTTACGCAGATTTGGAGCAGCCGCTGCAAAAGCTCAGTTGCCGTTGAGTTTAAATTTAGAAAACGTGCAGAATGAATGATCGCGGTGTCAAAGTTAAAACTCTGCGTTCTAGCTAAGGTTTTAGAAAAAAAATGATAAATGGTCAAGTCGAGAAGTATTTGGATCCTTTTAACGTGTTATCTTACCATAAATCTGGTAAATTAACCTGCTTTAAATAAAGGCTGAATGAAAAAAGGACAGCAGATGAACGCAGAGTCCATTTAAAACTGGAGGAAACAACAACTCCAGTCAGTTTGGGAACAGACGGGAAGCCCATGAGTTACATGCTCACACTCTTTGTTTCACTTGAAGGATTTACTGCTGCTGTCTGGATGGTTTGTAAACATCAGCAATAAAGTTTCGTCTTCTCGCTGACACCATGGATCTTGATCTAGTCGTGAGATGAATGTTCTTGTCAAGGTTTTGGACATCGTTTCACCTTAAGAGATAAATCTTGGCAAAAGCTTGATTTAAATCACCACGTACTGTGAACTTGTGTTCATGAAGCGTCCTGGTTTTCTGTTGAAATATAACCTCATATCAACGCAGTGCAGGACTCCTTCCTCCCGGTGACCAGATCTGACGCTGAGCCACAACATTGACGGTGTCTGACGGAGCCCACAGTGCTACACCAAACGGACAAAAGAGGCAGGTTTTCAGACTGCCCAGCTGTCTGAGAGGTCCACTTGGTGCCTGCGGATGAGTCATGTAAACTGTAATAAAGTCGGAGCATGCAAGTGCACCCCAGACATACGGACAGTAGCAGCCAAATGTTCATTTTAACGTCCAGGAACAAGCTGATGTGAATCGTTACGTTTAGAAGAACCCACTACTGTTTAGGTGGTCCTCATATTTAAGAGCAAACTGCAGTCCAGGATGGCTGACCGTCACTTTTGTCATGGGTTATTAATTAATTACAAACACAAGCTCACAACAATTATTATTCTGCGCTAATTTCTTTGACAGTGAGGCCTAAATTAATTGGGCTCTGGGTTAGTTTCAACTTCCTGTGAGTCGGGGGTGTCCGTCCCTTGAGGGCCACTGTCCTGCATGTTTTATTCCCTGCTCCGACACACGATGGTTGATTTACCTCTTCGTGTTCTGCTCAAGTCTATTAATCTCCATTGATTCAAATCAGGTGTGTTGGAGCGGAGGAACTCCTGAAACATTCAGGATGGTGACCCGTGGAGGTGCTCGTGTGCAGCTGCTGGGTCTCGATGTTGACACGATCGTATGCAGGGCCCGTCTTTAACTCCTTTTATGAGCAGTGGGATGTTCATCTTCTTATATTCCCACCACCTCAAACTCGAAAAGGCTTTTGAGGCCTGATCAATAATCCAGGTAGAAAAATCTAATTTGAGTTAGCAACCGCTAGCTGCAGTAGCTCGTGGCTCGCGTCAGCTCTCGCTGCAGCAGTCCTCTGGATGCTTTGTTTTTGTTGAAGTGGTTCATCTTTCATCCAAAAGACTCGGACCTGAGAACGTGACTTAACTTTGTTGGGCTGTGAGAGCAGGTTAATGTCTTTTTTTTTTTTTTTTTTTAGTGGCAGTGAAATCTTTAGAGCCAGTTTCTCAGAAACCTTGAAACTGGTGTTGGTTTCCAGTAGAACTTGAACTCACAGCCTTGAGTAATGAGAGTATCCATCAATGTTTTACCCGGCCTTCCTTAGTAAAAACAAGTATTCATTCGTGCTGTGTTTTATTCCCAGAACTATTCGAGTATGGCTGAAGAGAGACAGTGGTCAGTACTGGCCCAGTGTGTACCACACCATGCCATGTAAGTTCCTGCCCGTTTGTCTGGTATGAATCACTGGTTTGTTCAAAGGACGTGAGTCATGAATTTGTGGGTATGAAAGTTTTTGTTCTTTGTGCGAGTTCGTCCATCACGATGGACGTAATGACCCCTCATTCTGACACAAGTTGTGCTCCTGACATCATTCATAGCTCCTGCAATAGTTTATTCCAACACCCTCTGCTCCTCTTAGACCTGCGGCGCTGCATGTTTGTGACCGTTCAGCCTTGATTTCCTTCGGTTGTGCAACCAAAGGAAATCCCATCTTGCAATCAGCAAGATCTGTCGCAAACAACAGCAGAGGCTGCACGTGTCAAACATCCCAGTTCGCTGCTGTTTAAACACATATTGAATACCAACACCTCAAATTTACTCAAAGAGAGAAAAACTAACAAAGAAGTAAAAATTACTGGAAAATTCAGTACATTTTAGGTAACATGCAATCATATTCAAAGGGAAATTGGAAATATTTGTGTTTCAAGATGGTTATGGATACTTTTCTTGATCTTTTTGTCTTGGGGAAACGTTTGGAGCCAATTTTAAATATTTATTTTCAGTTTCACTATCAGCTTTACCAAGATATTGCAAAATTTGACTTGTATCAAAAATACTTCAACTGCAAACATACATAATAATTAGATACAGAACCAGAATGTAAAAGTAGAAACCACATAGGACAAGCACCCACTAGTACCGGTAGGCTAACTACAGTACAATTTATACAGTACAAGTAGTCCCTCGTTTATTGTGGGGGTTACGTTCTGGACCCCGCCCCGCAATAAGTGAAAATCCGTGAAGTAGCGACATTATATTTATTATATATATATATATATGATAGATATTTGTATAGATAGATATAGCCTTTCATATTGGCGGGTGATAAAAGTACAAATATTATTTAGTTTTTACTTTAATTTGTTGATCGAGTGTTTGAAAAGGTTTTCAATTCAACTTTGTGGTTTGCTTTGAAATCCTACGACAATCCAAAGTAGCTGCTGTAAAAATGAACGTGTCTCATGATAATAAATAAAGTTTTGTCTGATATTGCAACTGACGTAAAAAAAAAAAAAAAAAAACACTGCAACAAGTTTGATGTAATTATATTATTGCGTCTTCTAATATGTATTCTTATTATTACTTATTTCAGGTGCTGTTAGTTGTATAATACGTCTTTTGTATTGAATTTATTTTACACTTTAGTCGAACTAGATTTGTTGTAAAATAGAGTTCAGAGCTAAAAAAAAGCTGATATTTGCTTTCCTGTCAAAAGGCCGTCATCAATAATTTACCTCACAGGTGTTTTTAGTTTTCCCATCAAGATTTTTTCATTTTTTTTACCAGAAACATGGCTCATTCTTATTTGTTCGTGTGTTTGTCCAGCGTCCTGTTGCTGCATGTCCTTTAACCCAGAGACCCGGAGACTTTCCGTGGGGACGGACACTGGAAGTATATGTGTAAGCCTTTCTTTCTGAATCCACCGCTGACGCAGATGAAGGTTTGAATATTTAAAACTCACTTCAGGTTCTCGTTAGTAAACTGACATAAAAAAACGTGCAAGACGTTCGACAACTTCTCATCTGGTGGCTCACAACTTGTTTTCTGTTTGACGCAGGCTTTTGTCTAAAAACGACACCTCCTTACTTAATGTCTAAATAAGTGCCTGGATGATTTAAATACAACGTTCAGCACTGGGTGTGCACTCGGCTAAAGACGTGAAAGAAGTTGGACTGTTTTAATTCATGTTCGTGCATAAACCCCCCGAGTCTGTTAAAGGCTGACGTTACTGAAGTGAAGAGTTGTAGTTTTAATTAAATCGCATGTAATTGAGCGTATTTTGGAATACGCCGCTCTAGCATCATTATCCATGTTCTTTGCTGCAGGGGTCGGCATCCGGTGCAACGAGGTCAAAGTTTTTGAACTTTTAACAAAGTTTGGATGCTTTATTTAACAATGTTCCGCTCTAAATAATGAAATAAAACAGTCTAATTTAAAGAGAACGGTGTGTGATCATAGAATGGGTCCTTTATTTTTTCTACTAGTGCCTCTCTCGGGTCAGAATGTTTCAATTTAAACCCTCTTTTATCGCTTCTAAAGGTCCACACCAACAAAAGAACTGTTGTGTCACATTCAAAGGATGAATTAGACAAACCAGACCAGATTAGTTATCCTGTTTAATTATTAACCAACAACTTTGGGCTGTAGCAGAGGCCGTGAGTCTGCGGTCCGCACGCCGAGTTTGTTCAGATTCGGCTTTTTGTTGTTGCCGTTCGACCCTCACTGACAGAAATATTTGTTCTGGGACGAGAGAACCCGACAGAAGCACAGACTGTTGCGTAACGTGTGCCTTTAGACCTTTAATCCTACAGTTATTAAAACATTTAAAGTTCCCACTAACTTTGGAGAAACAAGCGCAGAGAAAACGGTTGCGTTCCTCTAAACTAAAGTATTTTTGATGACGCAGTATTTTCTTGTCGCACGCATGCCGGCAGCATTTCACGTCGGTCTGAACGTTTTGCTGTTTCCTGTTTCAGGAGTTCGTTCTGTCAGAAGACTACAACAAGATGACCCCGGCACTCACCTACCAGGGTGAGACAGGAAGTGCTTTTTCATTTTTTTTACCCTTTTTTAAAATTTGTGGAAGTGGACCAAAAAGGATGACTAAGTTGTTTCAATTTTAGAACAAGTTAACTTCCTTAGTTTCTTCTAGTTCAGTTTTCTATCAACACAACAGCTGACATTAGATTGAGCTTCTTCCAGTTTGTGGCCTTTTACTTATTAATTGTGTGAAAGTTTCTAAATCATTCTCACTATTCACATCCATTTTTTCTGCAGTGTGGCGCGTGACTCAGTCCACAGTTTTTGTTATTTCAGCAATTCAATTCAACTCAGTCCATTTATAAAGTGATAATTCACAGCAAAGTTGTCTCAGGGCACTTCACAGAAACATTCACATACGGTACATGGAAAAGCCAATTACCGTGTTTTCTGCTGTACATGTCGAAACAGTCCAAAATGTCAAATAAAGTGGAAAAACATCAATAAGTTGCTTCCTTCGCTGTATACGTCGCATCTATTACGCTTCACCGCTGACCACTCGGAAACGTTGTCAGAAATTGATTGGCTTCCAAATGGCGGCTGCGGGAGTTATCTTGTTAAATTTAATAAGAATTTAACGAGATAACCACCTAAAAACAATTATTTGTTTGCTCGACATTATAGTAAAGTTGTGTCTCAGTTGAACTTTTCCTCAATAAATGCACTTTAATGGTCAAATCGGCTTCATTTCACCTGGGCGGCGCGACGAAATGCAGCTGATCTGACGTTTGCTCCAGGAGTTCTGGAGCGAGACGAAGGGGGCTTAGTATGGCAAGCCAACTGTCTCATTAATAGCCACTTTTACTTATTAATGAGACACTTGACTTGCCATAATGGTCGAGGATCCTGTAGCAGCTGAAAATGGCAGTGTTCAATATTTTCCAAGTCAGAATGAATGAAATCGTCAGCTCTCAGACAGAAATTGAGTTATAAATATGGGGAAAACATAAATAGGTCGCTTCGCTGTAGAAGCCACAGGACTTGTAAATTTATGCAAAACGGTGCGACTTATACCGCGAAAAATACGGTAGTAAGTTCTCCATCTAATTGATATATGAAAACGTTCGTCTCGTTCAGGACATTCCTGCTGTGACTTGTGGTATTTGTGCAATTTTTACTTTGAGTTATTTAGCTTTGTCAGCCATGTGGACTGTAGTGGATTGACGAGGACATCCTTAGGTTGCTGGTTCGAATGCGGCTCGAAGGAGGTCGTTTTGTTTTGGTCTAAGCTCCTTTCTCTTCGGAACAAAAACAAAAGGAACTATTACTTATCCTCTACGAAATCGAGTCATTTCATATAAAACGTATAAAGCGTAAAAGCTTGGGGGACGATTCTGAAACGTAACTTCATCGTGGACTGTGTTTTTCTTCGGCACTCGACACTCGTTTTCTACATTCACCTTATCATCCAGCTGTTTTTGCTATTTTATTTTAATTTGTAACAAATGAATCTGTATGCCTCTTTTATGATTGTGCGTTGTTGTCATCACTCTTTGTTGAAATCAGGTCTCTCTTGTAAAAGAGTCCTGGAGGCTCGACGGGATTAACTTGTCTAAAAAGGGTTGAATTAATGTTTTTTCCATTGAAAATGAACGGAGCTCTCCACGTCCTTCAAACCCTGTTTCCTCTTTACAACCTTTTACTACTCGTTTCAGCTTTTGTTCTGGTTCAGCTTATTTGTGCTTATTTCAACTCCCTTTAGCTCCTTTCAGCTATTTTCAGCTCATTTTATCGTCTTTCGGCTAATTTAGTTTTTATGCTTTTTAAGCTACTTTTTGTGCATTTTTCTAATTTTAGCATTTTTTTCTGCTTTATTTTGGTGCTCGCAATTCTTTCTAATAATTTCAACTACCAGTATATACTCTTCAGCCTCTTTCTGCTACCTTCGGCTTTTTTTTATTTCTTTTCCAGCTACTTCTTTTTTTTCCTGCTTGTTTCAGTTTGTTTTTGCTAATTTCAGATGTTTTGTCGTCTATTCAGCCTCTCTCTGCCTATTTCAGCGTAATATCTGCTACATTTCCATTTCTGCTCTGTTCGGCTTGTTGTACCCATTTCTGCTGTTATTTTCCTGATTTCAGCAAATGTCAGCTGTTCAAGTTTTTAGCGATGAAACCTTTTCAGCAGCTTTCAGCAAAAGTCTTTCAACAATAAGCATTCACACTGAATGTTTGCAGGAAGTGCAGTTTCTGTACTTGTTGTTTTTGATGTTTTATAGATATTAACATGAGTGCAGTCTGTTTGCTCAGATCTAGTGGAGCAGCAGGAACTTGCTGCTTCATAATGAGAATATATTTGTGTGTGTTTTGCTTGTGAGCAGCCCACCAGGGCAGGGTGACGGTGGTGCTGTTCGTGTTGGAGATGGAGTGGCTGCTGAGCACCGGCCAGGACAAGAACTTCACCTGGCACTGTTCGGAGAGCGGTCAGCAGCTGGGGACGCATCACACCGCAGCCTGGGTTTCAGGACTGCAGTATCCTTTAATGCTCTGCCCTCTGGATTTGCAGGTTTTCTCACCCTCGGTCTTCTCTGTGAACATTAAAGCAAACAGAAAATGTGAATGAGCATCAAGTGATGTGCCATCTTGTGTGTTTTCAAGTAAAAAAAAAAATCTCATACATGCTTGCTCTACTTTAGGAGCAGAGCAGGTTAAGAAAGGGCAGTTGAGATGAGCTTTGAGTGAGTTTGCTCTAATGGGAAGAACCAACAATAGCAATCGGTCATGCTGCTGTCAAGGAGACGGTTTGAGTGGGTTTCTGTAATGGGTAGATGAAAGGCTGTTAGTGCTCCGCAGCTACGCTGATCCATACCAACGAGGAGCCTGTCGTCAGAGTGGTGAGAGCCTGTTGGCCTCGGTGTGATAACAGGACAGGATGATTTCTGTGCAGGGACTGCAGATGTGATCTCTTCCTGTACAGATGTTGTCTTCGTGGAGCAAAGGGGGAATTGGAAATGCTCTCCGTCCATTTCTGCATGCAGGTTTTGAGCATGGTAACTTGAAAAATAAGTGAGGTACCAACTTCCATTTTGGTGTGTGGCTGCATCTAATCAAAAGAAAGGTCACTTTCAAAATTTGGGATGCCACTTCCAAATCCAAGATGGTCACCGCCATATATATGTAAACCGACCACTAAATATTTGAAGAAACTATGCTTTTGAGTTTTTGTATTGCTTAATAGTATAGTTTTCTCAAATGATTAGGGTGGTCTCAGGGGTGGCTAAAGCCAGTGGGTGGACACCACTGGCCACCCACTGGCTCTGCCACTGGATCTATTAAAGGGTAAAATTGCTCCCTTCACTCATTAGCATCTGTCACACTGTACCGCCTTGGACAAACAAAAAATATATCTCTGTTCTTCTTCACAGTGTAACTCCTACTTACTTGATTATCTTGCACCAAAAGCATAACTATTTGTTTTTATTCTCTGTTCAGTTTCAGTCCAGAAAGACACTCGTCTCAAACTACAAACATTCACTATTCAAATCCCTCAGTTACGCGAGACATTGGTGTACCTCTTGTTTTCTGACATGGATAAAAACAATAAATTTTTATTCTGCTTTGCTTGCTGCTGTTTGAACAAGACTTTGGTGACTTATACATTTAAAAAAAAGTCACGTGGAACAAAGGTCAGAAAACAGACTTTTTGAAAATTTGGTTGATTTAAATCTGTTCTAGAACTTGTCATCCCAGAGCTGAGGGTGAAAGATTCTTTTATTTGGAATTTAAAAAACTAGTAAGTTTTCATGTCAATCAATTAATTGGGTAAAATAGATCAAGATTGCTTTAGAAGATGTGATCCAAGTCTGTAAAAACTAATCCAAATTAACGCCTAGCATTCCTGGACAGAACACCAATCGCTCGATGCCTTTATTCTACACCTCGAGCCTTAGCTTAAATCTAAGTTGACCAACTTTTGTGTTTTCTAATGTGGCAGTTTCTTGAATAGGGTCCATTGATTTCTCTCTGAGAGGTTAATTAAAATCCATCCATTGGTTCATGAGGTATTTTGCAGATATGACAAACACATAAAAAACAATGTTTCTCCAAAAAACAACATGGTCACTGCTGCTGTAATATTTTTTAGCTTTACGATTTTAGTTTTGAATTTTTTTTCAGTAGAAAGTTTCATATTTAACATGTAACATTCTACTAAATGTAAATTACTGAAAGACTAAATGGAAATTTGTATTAATTTCATTGTACTTGCGCATAATGACAATAAAGGCATTCTGATTCTGATTTATATAGCACTTTTAAAAACAACACAGTGGCCAAACCGCTGGACACTAACACATAAAAGCATTAAAAAAAAACTATAAAATCAAGTGAAACCGTAAAAGTAATGAACTGTTAAAATCATCAAAACAGCAAATGTTAAAGACAATCAAAATAAATAAATTAAGAACCGCAATCATTTCAATCCGAGTTAAAAGCCAAAGAGAAAAAAAGTGTTTTCAGAAAAGATTTAAAAACAGGAAGTGAATTAGCTTTTGTGACATGCAAAGGCATGCACTTTGTTTATATTCTAGAAAGTAACACCATGTTTCCAGAGAATATATCCCAGAGGGCGTAAATAAAAGGAAAACAGAAGGGGGGCAAGTATAGCTCCCTGAGGTACTCCACATATGAGAGGTGCTAATCAACAGCTCCAACATGCACACAAGCTTTATAACAGCTTGGCTGTTTACTGAAGCTGGTGTTTACTGAGGAGTTGTGATTCAGAACTTGGGATGAATGTTCATGGATATATGTAAACAAATGTTGTTTACAAGCTCTTTGAAAAGTGTTGTCATTGTTTTTAAGAAAGTGAATGAATGCATCAAGACAGCATGGCTCTGTCTTTTTGGACCTTAACTTTAAACCAGGTTTGATGTAGAGACCAGACATGCCTTTGTAGGGGACCAGTCTGGTCAGGTGACCATCCTGAAGCTGGAGCAGGACAGCTGCAGTCTGGTCACTACCTTCAAAGGACACACCGGTACATCTGACAAACACCGCACGCACGCACGCACGCACGCACGCACGCACGCACGCACGCACTGGGTCTTTGAATGGACAAAATGTTTTTCTTTCCCAGTTTCTGTCTGCTTCAGTGTAAGTCTTTGCATCTTGGTTAATAAAGAAGTAAAAATTACTTTGGCCTAATTTCAAGACAAACTGGAACACCAACTTTAAAGTGATAGCTCAAATTTTTTTTAGTTATAGATTATTCTTGTAAAAAGGTTTTACGAACAGTTGTCATGTTTTATTCCAGATTTTTAATCAAAATACGAAACCGTTGCGACCGTGACCGTGAGAGCTCCGCCTTCAACTAGGATGCAACATTATAGAAATCCAACAAACGCTGAAGACTCTGCGATTACATCATTTTACTTTCAGTTTTACTATCCAGAAAACTTCCGTAACAAGAAGTGCCTTCTCTTTTCTAAACATCAAGTACAACATCGTACGTATGGTGTCCTTTTTTTACAGTCACCAACAACTCCCTGAACAGAAATGACAACCCAACATTAAACATCATGCGAACATATAACCTGAAAAACTCCACCCATTTCTGGCCCAAGACTACCCAGCATGCTTTGTGGCTCACTCAGTCTGGCATTCAAGCACTGTGCAATTTCAATAATCCAGATTGAAATTAAACCCTGAACTTAAGTGTTTCTGTAAATGTTCTATGTAAACCTAAATATGATATTTAGACTTCATTTTTTTAGAGCAACTACAATTTTTAATGTGGCATTTTGAATTTACAAGTTGCAACTGAATGCATCCTAAATTTTCACGTGGTCAAAAACTGTCTGCAGAGCCTTCCCGAAGGCTCAGAGTCCCCGTTCTGTCCCACCCGGTCTACATCAACACTGTGAATGATTATGTTCCCGTCAGTTATTAAACAAAACATCCTGCAGAGACGTTGACTGAGCTCGGCCTTCTCTCCTGTCAGTGAAGTCCTAACCAATGAAAAAGAAACTTTGAAACGCGTTTCTGCCTGGAGACGTAAATTAGAAATAATCTGCTAGGATAACTATATTTTCATGAATTAAAAAGGTTCTTGCTGAACTACAAAAGTAGTTTACAGAAAATAAGAGAAATTAGCAAAAATTAAGAAAAACTACGTTGAAAATACAGTAGTTCCTTGTTTATCGTGAGGGATCCGTACCCTGAAGACCCATGATAAGTGAAAAACCATGAAGTAGGAATAGTAGTACAAGTAGTAGTAGTTTATTTTATTATTTATGTATATAAAGAATTTTAAACCCTTCCCACATTCTTGCGATATTCTAAACAATGTTTCTAGACACTCTAAAAGAGCAGAGTGTGTCATGAATTCAGCTCCTGTCTGCTCTTTGCCACCTGCAAGCACTTTTGGCCACGCCCACTTCCCCGTTCTGCACGGTGAACAGCTGATCAGCTGCAGCAGGAAGTTTATCCTGCATTATGGGCCGCACAAAGGTGCAGGAGGTGCTAAATAATTAAAAATAATTAATTTTAAATAAAAATTCCATGCCGATCGTATCAGCCAGTTGTGTGTCATGTCCAATCTTATTTTGAAAATCCGCGATAGAGCGAGTCAGCGATAAATGAACCTCGAAGTAGCGAGGGACTACTGTACATATTTTATTCAATATAAATTGTAAGTTAAAAATTAAATGTAAACTTTCTTAGGCCTTCTCTGAAGGTGTAGAATGCCCTGAGGGTTCCCTTCTGATACAATGTATATTTTGAAACTGGATAGAAAGTGTTTTATAATATCCTGAAACCTTCAGATAAGACTTAATACTCCTCTGTGCAGTCTGACATAATCGCTGTTAATTACAGTAACTTGGTTAAACTGTTTTATCTAGCCAAAGTTTCTATGACCTCATTTTCTCTGGTGATTTCTGTGCTTGAGATTTTCATTTTTAGGCTTTTATTTTGTGTTTGTGTCTTTTTCTCATATATTGTGCTTCTCTGCAGGTAGCGTGACAGCGCTGTGTTGGGATCCGGTCCAGAGGGTTCTGTTCTCGGGCAGCTCGGACCACTCCATCATCATGTGGGACATCGGAGGGCGCAAAGGCACCGCCATTGAACTGCAGGGACACAAGTAGGAAACGCACAGTTTCATCTGAATGGACAAACGAGAAATGAATAAATCCTTGCTGGTTTGGGGTTTAGCGTTTGTAGCTCTGCTGTTTATGAAGACCGCACTAGATGCAAGTCGTTGTTGGATTGGGGCATCACTAACAAACGTCTCCGTATAGATTCATCTCCGAGATTATGTTGTTTTTTATTTGTGTGCTTGTGTACGTCAACAGTGAGAAAGTCCAGGGCTTGTGTTACGCCTCACACACTCGCCAGCTCATCTCCTGCAGCTCGGATGGAAGCATCGTCATCTGGAACATGGATGTAACTCGACAAGAGGTGATTAGCAGCACACTGATTCAAGTTCAAGATTATTTATTATCCCTGAGGGGCAATTAGTTTCACAGTCAGTAGACACATAAACATCCAGACTAGACAAGACATTAAAATAACAGAAGTCATCAGTGTTTGTTGAGAAGCCTGATCTCTACAGTTGTTCAGTCTGTTCGTTCCACATCTGAACAGCAGATACCTGCGTCCAGATGGAAGACACCTGAACTCACCATGGATGATCAGGATCTGCCAGAATCAGCATGGCCTTGTTCACTGACCTCGCCTTGTGTAGGTCAGTGATGTTCTGTAGGTCGGTGAGGTTCAGTAGGTCGGTGAGGTTCAGTAGGTCGGTGAGGTTCAGTAGGTCGGTGAGGTTCTGTAGGTCGGTG